GGTATGCGTATTTCGTCGTTATAGTCGAATTTTGAAGACACGAATGGTTGATAAGTATGAAACTCTGAACTTACGATGGAGTTGTCGATATAGAGTTTTTCGTTAACATCTAAAATTGTCATTTTAAGAGCACTTGGAATCCCAATGATTTCAAAAAGGTGCGGTTTGTACGTGTTAAACGTTGGCCGTTTCTAATGGCACTGGATTTGCAAACGATATTTCTCTTTTTATAGTTTTTTTTTTGTGATTGTACTGTAACCACTGATGGTTCTCTTATAAAAGTCCTGTTATATCTGGTAACCATTATTGCTTTTTAAATGCAACCTCACTGTTATCGTTTCGTTTCTAAAATTAATAAGATCTCCGTCTTGGTCGATGATTCTTATAGTGATATTATTAATTGTCTTAACACTGATTGGAAAATAAAGTATAGTTAGGGGCGACTCGACTATTTTATACCCAGGAGCTACAGCCGGAAAAAACTGATGTATTATGTGAACCGGTTTACCATTACTGTATGAGCCAACACATATATTACAATCTACACAAATAGCATTGACTTTATTAATATTTACTACTTCATCCGACTGTTCTGTAGTCGATGCTTCAACTACTCGCTTTTTAAATCCAAGCAGTCGACCTATGGAATCATTCGAGGAAAAGTCAATTCGTTTAGAACAAAAAATTGACTCTTTAAAGTGTTCGAATTTGATTCCAGAATAAAATCGACCTTCTCTTTAAAAATCTTTTTGACTTGGTTTTTGACGTATTTGGTATGCTCGAAATCTGCTAGTCCCAAAAAGTATTCCTTATCATCATCTAAATAAATTGGCGGATTGAAATCGGCGGATAATATAGAAGTTTTCCCACTTATGGAAATCGTAGTGGACATTACGAATCTAAATTAATCACTGACGTTTCACTTTAACGGCATGTTATTATATAGAAATTTTAGTGACAGATGTCCGCAATTTTAAGAACTGGACCTTTGTTTGGTTTCATAAGTGTAATATATGCTAACATTTCCGTTAGAATTAAGATATTTAACTAATTCTACAGGCGGTTTCAAATTTCCAGAACCATCAAAGTAGAAAGCCTTAGTTTTGTCCTTTATGTAGCTGACCCAATGAGTTCCCTGGTTTTTCTCACTATCCAAATTAACAATTCCGCATTCTTCAATTTTAATTTTTCGCGGTAAATTATCACGCATAAAAACGCCCCTGAAATGCGGAATTTCTAGTATTTTTGCATATTTTTCCAGATCGAAATTTGTCAAAGCTCTTCGAGGAAAATTTATTTGGACTTTTTTTTCTCTTTTGGGTATTTTTCTCCTTCGACACAACACCGCCCTTATATGGTTTAATATAAAGACCTTTTCCTTCACTTCTACTGTTTTTAAACGGTTTTACGTATAGTCCTTTGCCTTGGGCTTCGATGGCTCTGTTATGACGTTCTTGTTCTGCCAACTGCTCTTTGGCCGCTTTAGCATCGTTTACTGCTTTCGCGATACCTACCGCTCCTCCGCCTAGCGCGCCAAGTGCTCCCAATATCGGTAGTAAAAGAGGTAAAAATCCACCAATTTTATTAGGTGTTTTTATAATACGCTTTTTTTTGCTCGCTTTCATTTTGCTTGCTTTTTTAACACCCATTCCCAATTTTCGCTTTCCTTTCATTACACCTGTTATGCCTAAAGCGGCTGTTTTTTCTCCAAACGAAGAGTCCTTTGCTTTAACCCTCTGCCAAGCTTTATCTTCTAAGATCTTGTCTGCTTCGTGTCTCTTGGTTAAATTGTTAGACTGAGAGTATGCTATATCGTGTTAGTTAGATTTATACCTGGATCACCTCTATTTATTCTCTTTTGTAAATGAGTACCCGGTCCGCAGAATTGGTAACCAGGAATATGCAGTTCGATAGGAAGTTTGTTTATAAGTTTATTTACCAATCCTGAACCTTTCGCCCTGTTTCGATGTACAATCATGAGAGTGTTAGGAAATACTGTTTAAATATTTAGGAATTATGCTATAAATGCTTTTGCAGGTTCTTGTTAATGTCTCAGTCGAAATGAAAGTTGTTAAGCAAGCCTTTTCTTTACCCGTAAAAAACCATGACGCAAGCTTGGTCCGCGAATTTCAAAAGCACGGCGATCCCTTTGGAGGTAGTTGCAAGAGGGCACTAATTGTAGGACCCTCAAATTCGGGTAAAACCAACTTCATGTTATCATTGCTCGAACATCCTAATGGAATTAGATTTGAAAACGTTTACTTATATTCCAAATCCCTGCAACAGCCAAAATACGTGTATTTGAGAGAACTGCTAAAGCCTTTACAAGAGATTGGATTTTTTGAGTTTGAGATCGATGAGAATATCGTTTCTCCTCATTAAATTAAACCCAATTCTGTTATAATATTTGATGATCTTTCTTGTCACGACCAAAGTGTCTTTAGAGATTATTTCACTCACGGTAGGCATAAAAACACCGATTGTTTCTTTATTTTTCAAGGATATTCTTCTATACTCAAGCGACTTATCAGGGAAAACGCCAACCTTCTGATTTTATTCAAGCAGGACATGATGAGTTTAAAGCATATATATAACGATCACTGTATGTTGGACATGTCATTTGAACAGTTTAGAAATATCTGTGTGTACTGCTGGAACGAACCTTATAATTTTCTTGTGATTGACAAAGATTGTGAGTTAGATAAGGGCAGATATAGGAAAAACTTCGATTCCTTCATTTATATATAATATCCCAAAATGGATAAACGCCTAGCGACGGAGCTAATAAAATCAAGAAACGCAGTTAGAGAAAAATATCAAAGGCTAAAACAAGTCGCAAGTGAATCCCAGACACAACTCGAACAAACCTATAAACCGATAACTCAGCCTCTGCAGCAATTAATTTCATCAATAAATAAAACGGATATCAAACAAGAGCCGTTTGAAGAAAAAGAAAATATTAAACATGAAGTGTTAACCTCGACGCCTACCAAAATAAAGGAGAAAAGAACCGGAAAAACCCCAATCTGACCTTCAGAATTGCCCTCATTTTTTGATACCTCCTTTCCGTCGATCCAACAACAAAGTAATGTTGTAGCTGAAAGTACGGGTCTTTCGGACAGCGATACTACGTTGGGAAATCTGTCAGATATTTTAGAACAAACTAAGCAAGCTATACAGGATTACGTCGACACTCCCGCTTACGAGCAATGGTTGAATGACTTTGATAAATTACCACGAACATACATTGATGACAGCGTAAAAGATACCAACATATATATGACCATAATTATGGTATCGTTCATGACATAGAAAACGATAAATTTTTTCTGGGCTTAACCCAAAAAGCTGTGGAAATTGTCGGTAAAGATGTGAAGGTACAAGGTATTACACACCCTGGGACTGTGGGATAATTCAATGAAAGAGTTGGAAAAACATTTATCCAAAATAGAAGAGCTTGAGAAGACATTTAAGAGCTATCAGGCAGATATCAATTCCCAACTTAATAAACTTTTGCCACAACAAAACCGATATACACAATGGGTGAACAAATACAATACGAGTTTGGACCAAATAAATCAGTTAGCGACAACAACTAATGAATGATTTAAAATGGTGTTTAATTCAAATTGACGGGCAATCGACAAAGTAATGAGCAGTGAGAAAGCACAACTCGTCCGAGAGCTGCACAAGCCGGCACGCAGAAATTACGAGCGTCGCAGAACTATAATACGAGGGCTGGATGATTTGTGGCAAGCGGATTTGGCTTAGCTAGACCTATATGCGAAACAAAATAAAAACTTTAAATTCATACTAGTCGTGATCGATTGCTTTTCAAAATACGTGTGGTGTCGACCGTTAAAAACAAAAACCGGTGTTGAAGTTACCAAAGCGTTTACCCAAATTCTCAAAGAAGGACGCCGGCCGCAAAATCTGCAAACTGATCTCGGCAAAGAGTTTTATAATATCCATTTTAAAAAAATGACGGGTAGGTTTGACATAAATCATTACAGTACATATAGCAAGGTGAAAGCTGCCGTAGCCGAGAGAGTTATACATACTCTCAAGGAAAAATTATATATATATATATATATATATATATATATATATATATATATATATATATATATATATATATATATATATATATATATATATATATATATATATATATATATATATATATATATATATTCGTTAAACGGCACCTACAAATGGATAGATGTCTTATCCTCTGTTGTCGAAAAATATAACAGTAGCGTGTACAGGACCACCGGAATGAAACCTAAAGAAGTGAACAAAGATAACGCGCCTAGTTTGCTGAAATCAGCGTTCAGTCACTTGAAAATTGTAGGACCATCTAAACTTAAACTGGACGACGTTGTAAGAATCAGCAATATATATATATATATATATATATATATATACATACAGGGAGGGATGTGGTTGAAGTAATGCGGGGTGATGATACACTCTCCCTCATCGAACATTTAGATTCTGGTTTCGTTTGAAGATTTTTTTTTTGCGTTTTTGTTCGCGTCGAAGGAAATGCGACGATAAACTCGATGTCGAAGGAAACGCATGCGGTAAGAATATCAAACGTTTCGATTAAACCATTTCTTGTGTCGCAGGAAAACACGTATGCCGTTCCTAAGCGGTCTAATATGAAAGTCTCGTTTAAAACATTTTTTTTTGCGGCGAAGGCAGGCGACGCGATGATCTCACCCGCCAAAGTTTAGTTTAAACATTTCGCAAAGCGATGATATCAGCCAGTTGTCAAACGCGACGGCGGCGGTACGCCTGAGTCATCGCACACAATCGCGCTGCAATTTACATTCACGCCGCGACCAACGGTCGAGTTTCGAAGCGAAGCGGCCCCATACGATGACGGTTTGGTTAGGTTAGGTCGCTAACTACGACCAATTTTATCAGCGGGTCGCGTTATATTGCGCAATTCTCGCCAACACAAATCTTAATTATTCTGAAGGAGCGTTCTCGAATGTAATTTTAAATTCATTACCCCAGAAAAATTGGCTTAATTAACAAGTGACCGCCGCCATAGTGAGACTTCATTCTTTGGATTTTTGTTTGTGTTTCACCACTTAAAAAAGGTAAGTGTCAAGTAGAGATCTGGAACAGTTGGAGAGTGAGACGCCTATTCCTCGCAGCAAATAAAAATGTTCACCTGCGAATATTGCAACCGCTCGTTCAGCCGTAAAGACCACCTGGCGAGGCACGGGGACTGTCGCGCAGCAGTACAAATTTGTGACGTTTGCGGCGGGATATACAAATCCGAGGGGGCTCTCCGACGCCATAAACGCGAGAAGCATGAGGTTCCCAAGGCGAAAAGACCCGCCGCCGCCTCTATTGCTGCAGTCGAACCCAAGCGCCCAAGACTTGACCTACCGGAAGGTAAGGATTTTTGATTTTATATCCCAAACAATTCTCATATTGTATTTTATAGCTTCGACATCATCATCATTACCATCAACCATGCGCCATTGTACGCAGTGTAACTTGACCATTCCTGTAATGAGATGACACTTGCGTACTTTGGCTCACCGCCAAAAATGCAGCGTGGTGCAGGAGCCAGGAGTAGAAATGATACAGACCTCCTTCCGTAACCGCATAGTTACATACCGTCTGGCGTCCACCGTTAACCCTACCGACGTTAAGGGCTTCTTGGACCACCTTAGGTCCAAAACGTTGGTAGAGTCGAACGTCCGACGCTACGGCAAACGTAAAAGTCGGTATGGAGCTATTCGGAAACTTCCTCTTGCAGACGAAGGAACAAGAGGAGGTCAAGTCCTTCAATACCAAATATCGGCTGGTGAGCGGAAACACCGATCTGGAGGAGCTATACGTCCAGTTCGTCGACATCCTGGCTACCAAAGCGTCCGAGTTTCGGGAAAGGGACAGCGGTATGATTCATAAAAATGTATATTTCCGAACTAATTTCTTTCTCTTTTTTACAGGCTGGGCTTTGCAGGAACTCCTCCATTTAGAAATAGGGATTAACAAGTACAATCCCCTAAGGGCGTCGTCCTATGTTAGCCTGCCCAAGGAAATCGAAGCCAAAAAAGCTGTTTTGAACTTGCAAAATACGGACGAAAAATGCTTTATGTGGTCGATCTTGGCTGCTCTTCACCCAATTCACTGGACAAATAACGCTAACAGGGTCAGTAACTATGTAGAATTTCAGAACGAGCTGGATTTTACAGGTATCGATTTTCCCGTTAAACTTAAGGACATATCCACTTTTGAACGACTTAATGAAATTTCGGTCAATGTCTATGGCCTCGAGAGAGTCTATAACAAAGTCCGTAATGATGTTGAGGTCGTTGGTCCTTTGCATTTTACTGAATCTCGTAAAGAGAGACATGTAAACCTCTTATTAATTAGTAATGACTATGGAGAAAATCATTATTGTTTAATAAGAAGTATGTCTCGGTTGGTTTCAAAACAATTAACTAAAAGGTCCACTACAAAGTTTTTATGCGATGGGTGTTTGGTTTATTTTTATAACGAAGAAAAACTAAAGCGTCATAAAGAACACGACTGCACTCACATTTCCATCAAACTTCCGACCACCGAATTGCGCAAGGATAAATACGGTAAAGATGTTCCCGCGAATAAGCTGAAATTTGAAGAATTTGAAAAGAAATTAAAAGTTCCTTTTGTTGTGTACGCGGACTTTGAAACAGTCATGACTCCTTTACAGGTGGAAGGCGAACCGAATCCCGACAAATCGTTTACCGTCTAAACTCATATTCACGAGCCTTACTCTTTCGCCTACTATGTCAAATGTGACTTTGACGATTCCCAGTCTACTTTTAAACAGTACAGAGGTCGGGGCGCACACAAAATTTTCATTGAATGGTTGCAAAGCGCTCTACAACAAGTTCATGAAAACTTCCGTGCCCATGACCACTCTATCGTTTGAACAAGAGACCGGCTTTCGAAACGCTGCGGCTTGTCACATTTGCGAGAAGCCATTTAATGCAGAGGACGAAAAAGTAAGGGATCATTGTCATATGACGGGCGAATTTCGAGGTGCGGTTCACTCCACTTGCAACTTGAATTTCAAAGTTCCGCGGCAAATCCCTGCCTTTTTTCTCCATTTAGGTTTCGACAGTCATCTATTTGTAAAATTTATGGCTGAAGAAGGGGAAAAGATCGATGTCATCGCCCAAAACAAGGAACGTTACATTTTCTTTACGAAACATGTCCTAGTCGATAACACTGAGTCGAAGAAAGGAGGCAAAGGGAAAAGGGTATTTTTAAAACTCCGATTTTTAGATTCATTGCGATTTATGGCATCCAGTTTGGACAGATTGAGTCGAAATTTGAACGATAGTCAGTGTTGGGAAGTCAAAAATTTTTTTAAAAATGAACAAGAATTTCAATTTATTCGACAGAAGGGCGTTTTTCCATATACGTATCTAGATTCTTTTTCAAAATTAGACGAAACCAAACTGCCATCGCACGAGGACTTTTATGACTCCATGCGAAAGAGCAACATAACCAGGGAGGATTACAAGCGTGCCTGGACTGTGTGGAATTTGTTCAAATGTAAAACTTTAGGCGAATATTCAGATATTTATTTAAAATCCGACGTTTTACTTTTAGCTGATATTTTTGAAAATTTCAGAGAGGTGTGTCTGAAAACGTACGGTCTGGACCCGAGTCAGTTTTATACGACACCGGGTCTATCATGGACGAGCGCCCTTAAGGCGACAAAGGTCGAACTGGACCTGTTGACCGACGTGGACATGATACACTTCTTGAAGCACGGTATCCGCGGAGGAGTCAGTCAGTGTAGTGTGAGAAAGGCCGCGGCTAATAATAAATTTTTACCTAATTACGACCCTTCCAAACCTACCTCTTACGTCATGTACTTGGACGCTACCAATTTATACGGGGTGGCCATGTCACAATACCTCCCAACGGGAAACTTCGAGTGGTTGGAGGAGGGCAAAATTCAAAATTTAGATATTACGCGTATCCCCAACGATTCACCTAGGGGCTATATTTTCGAAGTAGATTTGGACTATCCGGAAGTGCTGCATGACGCACACAACGAACTGCCTTTTTGCCCGGAATCCATCGTTTCGCCAATCGGGAAAACCAAAATGAGAAAACTTATTCCAAATTTAAACAATAAACGTAATTATGTATTGCATTATAGGAATCTGCAACAGGCTTTAAGCAACGGTTTAAAACTTGTTCGCATCCATCGCGTTCTTGTTTTCGATCAATCTCCCTGGCTAAAACAATACATAGACTAATACGGCGATGCGTAATACAGCTAAAAATAAGTTTGAAAAAGATTTTTTTCAAACTTATGAATAACGCTGTGTTTGGAAAAACGATGGAAAATGTGGACAAAAGGGTGGACGTGCGGCTCGTTTCCCATTGGGAAAATATTGGGAAGAGGTTGGGGGCAGAAGCGTTAATCGCGAGACCTAATTTTAAAAATGTCGCCATATTTAGCGAAAATCTAGTCGCTCTCCAGATGGAAAGGACTAAAGTCGTATATGATAAGCCTATTTACGCCGGATTTTGCATTTTGGACATATCCAAGACTCTCATATACGACTTTTTTTACGGCTATCTAAAGGCTAAGTACGGCGACAAAGCCGTCTTACTCTATACCGATACCGACAGCCTCGTTGTCCAAATTTTTTGCGAAAATTTCTACGAAGATATGAAAGAAAATTTGGACAAATTCGATACTTCTAATTACTCGGAGAACAACCAACACGGCATTCCTGTAAACAAGTCCGTTCTTGGTAAAATGGAGGACGAGTACGCAGGACGGCCGTTGTGGGAATTCTTGGGTACGGGAGCGAAAGCTTATTGCGTAAATGTGGACGGCAACGAGTTGACCAAAAAGGCCAAGGGCGTTGCTGACTCGGTCAAAGCGCAAACTTAGTCTCGACGACTATAAGCGCGCTGTCGACGAGGAAGGCACGCTAATCTTGCGCCAAATGTCTTCGTTTCGCTCACATTTACATTATATGTACGTCGAACTGAAAAATAAGGTGGCGTCGTCTTACGCGGATGACAAACGACAACTTATACCCGGCTCAGAGTACACGCTAGCTTGGGGCCATCGAAATTTGGTTGGTTCAGAGGACAGCGGGAAAATCACTGACTGATCGACCACATACCAAGCAGATATTTCTTTTGGCAAAATAATATGTTACGATTCCTTTAGATGATTGTAGTTTATATTTGTGTTTAATTTATGTATCTATTTATGTCCATATATGCTATTTATATATGCATATCGTTCGAATATATTTATTAATATGTGTCTATCCTGATGGGGTTTTGTATATGATTAATAAAACAATTTGTTCGATATTAGTGTCATTAAACGTCTTTTTCCCTGTTGCATTTTATTTAATCCGCAAAAAAAATCTTGTCAATAAATTATTATATTTTAAGCGACCTCGACGACCTTTTATTAGTTGAATTCTCTTATCGTCGCCGCCGCCGCGAAATCGTCGTCGGCTAGGCTCGGCTAGGCTCGACTAACGTAGCGCGCGAAACGGGTTCGAGGTTCGAATCCCCCGACCGCGCGCGACACACCGGTCGCTTTTTTCACCTCGCGCAAAAATACGTCAAAACAAAAAGGCACTAACGCAAAAACTACCCCTAGTGGGGCGAAATTGCCAAAAAGGCACTAACGCGAAAACTACCCCCTACCCCCATTAAGGGTGACATCTGGCGATCGAAACCTGAGCTCTTAATGGGCGGCGACATCTCTCGTAGAATGGTCAAACTATTTTTTTTTTTCGGTTGCTTGGGAATCTGTTAACTTGCAATCACAAAATCTCCCCCGGGGGACGGGGGATGGTGAAGTAACGAATCATAACTACTGAAGTGAAAATTAGTCAGGAATATAAGAACATTTGCTTCTATAGAGTGTTCAAGTCAATAGAGGCAAAATTCGCACCATATTTTTGTGAACTATTTTTTAAAGTATACAGGTATGAACCGTAAAGAAATGTTTATCAATTGTTGCCTCAGTATTATACCAAGAACAGACGTCCAACTGAAAGAGATCGCATAACTCATATATAAAATTAAATTTATTGTGATGCCAATATAAGCATTGTAAGGGACGTGTGGGGTGAGGAGTGTTGCGTTTGTGTTACGTGATAACCATGTTAGGGTGGTAGAAAATAATTCCCAACAGAATTAATAAATCATTAGCGTGAGATTATAATGTAACAATATAAAAATCAAACAAATTTTACGTATTTTTCGGCTTTAAGCGCTCTTTTTAAACCTGGAATAGATAATGCTAAGCACACTGACATCGCGCAATTCAAATCGCCAAGTTCTTCGCAAACTTCACAGTTATGCGACATTTTTGCTATCAGGAATAGCAATATCCAAAAACGCCTTCACTCTTTCTAAAAATAACTTTTCTCACAAAAAATAAGCAGAAGCAGACGTAGTACAAGATGCATGTAAAATGGAGAATAAAAACTCATGCATTTATTCGTTGTAATTAAAAAAATGCATTTCTTACAAACCATATCG